TAAACCCAAAGAGTACAAAGGGAAGAAATAAACATTAGAGCAGAAATCAGTGAATGCTTTAAAAGGACATCAATAGATTCCTTCAGCAAAAGGAAACACTTACTTATTAAAATTTCCAATAAAATCAGTTAGTGTGCAGACTGGCTAAGTAGAAAAGAGAGAAGACACCAGTCACACAACTCAGAAGTGAAAGAGAGAGTTCCACTGCAGACCTCTTCAATGTTAAAAAGGTAGCAAATGAATGTCACAAACAGCTCCATCAACCACAAGTTTGATAACTTAGATGAAGCAGACCAGTTCCTTGAAAGATAAATATGCCACAGTACACAAGAAAAAACCGGTAACAGGCTAACATCTTGTAAAGAAATAGAGTCAGTAGTCAACACCCTTCCAAACAGAAAGTACCTGACTAAAGTAATTGGATAAGAAAATTCTGAACAGCTTAGGGAAAAATTCCACCAATTCTCTACAACCTCTTCAGAGCACAGAAGTGAATGAGAACCTTTTTCATAATTTTATCTAAGAGGATGACATTATTATAACACCAAATATTTTTTTCAGTATCTTTTTTTTTGTTTTTATTTTTATTTTTTTTATTTTATAATTTAATTTAATTTTACATATCAGCCACGGATTCCCCTGTCCTCCCCCCTCCTGTCCCCACTTCCCCTCAGCCCACACCCCATTCCCATCTCCTCCAGGGCAAAGACTCCCCTGGGGATTCAGCTCAACCTGGTAGATTCAGTCCAGGCAGGTCCAGTCCCCTCCTCCCAGGCTGAGCCAAGTGTCCCTGCATAAGCCCCAGGTTCCAAACAGCCAGCTCATGCACTAAGAACAGGTCCTGGTTCCACTGCCTGGGTGCCTCCCAAACAGTTCAAGCAAATCAACTGTCTCACTTATACAGAGGGCCTGATCCAGTTGGGGGCTCTTCAGCTATTGGTTCATAGTTCATGTGTTTCCATTCGTTTGGCTATTTGTCCCCATGCTTTTTCCAATCTTGGTCTCAACAATTCTCGCTCATACAATCCCTCCTCTTTCTCACCAATTGGACTCCTGGAGCTCCACCTGGGGCCTGGCCGTGGATCTTTGCATCCGATTCCCTCAGTCATTGGGTGAGACTTTTAGCACGACAGTTAGGGTGTTTGGCCATCCTATCACCAGAGTAGGTCAGTTCAGGCTTTCTCTTGACCATTGCCAGTAGTCTATTGTGGAGGTATGTTTGTGGATTTCTGTGGACCTCTCTAGCACTTTGCTTCTTCCTATTCTCATGTGATCTTCATTTATCATGGTCTCTTATTCCTTGTTCTCCCTCTCTGTTCTTGATCCAGCTGGGATCTCCCGCTCCCCTAAGCTCTCTTTCCCTCAAACCTTGCCCTTCATTCCCCCCACTCATGACCAGGTTGTTCATGTAAATCTCATCCATTTCTCAGTCATTGGGCGATCCCTATGTCTTTCTTAGGGTCCTGTTTTCTAGGTAGCCTCCTTGGAGTTGTGAGTAGCAGTCTAGTCATCTTTATTTTACATCTAGTATCCTCCTATGAGTGAGTACATACCATGTTTATAACATCAAATATTAAATAAGGGCATTATCAGCAAACTACAGACCAATAATTTTCATGAACATAAGTGAAAAAATCCTCATCAAATGTTTAGTCAATGTAACACAAAATGAATATGAAGAGTTAAATGTGGTAAGTAATTGGGCCTGCACACCTTGCAAGTTTGGTTCAACATTTAAGAGTAGTTTAGTATAAATCCATTACATCGTCTAAAGAAGAGAAAGTACATGACCATATCAATAGATACCGAGAGAACATTCAGCAAAAAAATGTGCATATGTTTATGCCCAAAGTCAGCACCAAACCAGAGAAAGGAACTTTCTCCACTTGCTAACAGAGGTCCTCAAAACAAACAAAAACACCTACCAAATAATGAGAATCTGCAGCTTTCCTGACAAAATCAAGACCACAGCAAGAATATTTTCTTTTTACAAGTATTTCTACTTTATACTTGAAGTCCTAGTGAACTCAGGTTATATTAAACAACAATAATAAAAGGAAGAAAGAAAAGGTATGACGATTGAGAGAGAGAAAAAAATATTCATTTTCAAATGATAAGACTATCTAAGTACAATGGAATCACAGAAAATTAATTATTTTCCTATATACCAGCAAAGAACAAGTAGAACTTGAAATTAAAAATCATTGTCATTTACATTAACTTTTTAAGAAACTTCTACTCGAGTTTAAATCCAACAAAATAATAAAAGATCTATATGAGGAAATCTATAAAACTCTGATGAAATACATTGTATTACTTACTTTTCTGTTCCTGTGATAAAGCACCATTGTGGAATATTATTTTAACCAGGTGAAGATGTCTTACATCTGTTTATGCTGCATTTGTTAATGAAGTAAAGATGTGTGTTTAATTATGAAAGATGTGTTACATTTGTTTCACCTTGTCTGCCAAAGGTACCTGATTGGTCTAATAATAAGCTGGATGGCCACTAGCTAGGCAGGAAAGAGATAGGCGGGGCTGGCGGGCAGAGAGAATAAGTAGGAGGAGGAATCCCGGCTCTAAAGAAGAGAAGAAGGAGAAGGGAACGAGGAAGAAAGAGAGGGACACACCTGGGGTAAGAAATCAGGCACCTGCCAGCCAGACACGAGAAGCAGTGAAAGTAAGATGTACAGAAGGAAAGAAAGGTAAAAGGTCCCAAGGCAAAAGACAGATAAGGAGAAACAGGTTAATTTAAGTGAAAAGAGCTAGCCAGAAATGAGGCTAAGCTAGGCTGAACATTCGTAATTAGTAAGTCTCCATGTCATGATTTGGGACCTGGTTGATGGCCCAAAAGAAAAAGCCTGGTATATACCATGACTAAGGCATGTATGAGAGGAGGGGATGCTGGGGCAGGGAGTGTACAAAAGGTCTATATGCCTACTGTTCAATGCTTGTGTAAATTAAGAATGCATTTAAAATAAAATGTATTGACTGAAAATATTTCATTGATAAAAGGTTTTACTTTTACTTCCCAACCTCCTTTGCCTTCCCCAAAGCCAGTTAACTCCTGAGGTAATGACAGCAAGCAAGTCTCTTAGAGCAGCCAACTGAAAGAGATGTCAAAAACATCTCACCCAGAGCACGGTTTCCTCTCAGTCACCTCACGTTAGGTCAGATGCTCTTCTATCAAGAGTCCTGTCTAATTCTGCTACACTCATACAGCAGTGCCTTGCTCAGCCATCATCAGAGACGCTTCGTCCTGCAGCAGGTGGGAATAAATGCAGAGACCCACAGTCGGACATTACACAGAGAACGAGAGACCTTGGAACACTTGGGCCTACGTGGGATGTCTCTATCAAATCCCTCCCCTCACGGCTCAGGGAACCTTGCAGAAGAGGAGGTAGGAAGAGTGTAAGAGCCAGAGAGGATGGAGGACACCAAGAAAACAAGGTTCTCTAAATCAACTGGATTGCCTCACATATGAATGTGCAGACATGAGGCAGCATGCACAGGGCCTGCACAGGCCTGCAGCAGGTGGGGACCCAGAGCTGAAAGAAGAGGAAACAAGCCCCCATCCCTAATCCAGATGCTACTTACAAATGATAACCTTACAAATGATAATTACTTACAAGTGAAAGTTTAGTTTTCTTCAAGGGAGTCTCACTGGGCAAACAAACTATTCTTAAGGGTAGGCTGCATGCCCAGCAGTAGACGACCAACAGAAAATGAACTCAATAGCATCATTAAAGATTCATTGTTTTATAAGGTCATGTGAAGGTCATTTTTTATTTTATTTATATATGTATAGTATATGTAAATTCATATATATATGCATATATTATATATATTCTCTCTTTTTAGCATACAGGTCCTTTGTGTATATTATAACTTGCAGGTTAGTGTTTTCATGGGATTTCTGAGTATGTGAACGAGTGAGTCTCTGCATTTATCTCTGTTTCCTGTGCCTTTTCTTGGGCTCTTTTCCTTCTATTTGTTTTGTTCTACTCTGTATTAGTTTTTGTTTTATCTTATTTTGTTTTATTATTATCCCTTAGAAGCCTGTTTGTTTTCTAATAAGAGACAGACAGAGGGTGGATCTGGATGGGAGGTGAGGTGGGGAGGAACTGAGAGGAGCAGGGGAAGGGGAGCGGAAACCTCCATCAGGAGATTTTATGTGCAAAAAAAAAAGCAAAAAAAAAAAAAAACCTCAAAAATTATTTTCAATAAAAGACGAAAAATCAAACAAGAGTCTTGTGTAGTAGAGGGCAGCCTAGCACTGGAGACTAAACCAGATGTGGAAGAGAAAGCGAAACCTGCATGGTAGGATTCTGTTTATATACAGTATACAGAAAAGGCAAACTTAGGGTCTGGGCAAACCTCGTGAGTGAGTTAGTGGTTGATGAGGGCTGCAAGAAAGAAGTTACCCAACAGTGATGACTAAGGGGTGTGTGGGGTTTAGGGAGAGGGAGCTAATGACACATTTCTAAAATTACAGTGACCATGGCACAAATCTGAACATTTTAAAATCTCTCAGGTGTACTCTAAGGTAGGCACAGTAGCTCATGCTTGTAAGTGGAGCACCCTGCAGTGAGTTCAGGGCCAGTCTGTGTTGCACAGGGAATCTAAGGTAAGTCTAGGCTACATAGCAAGACCTGTTCCAGAAACACCAAGAAGAAGGACAAAGACGTGGGGAGGGTGGGGAGGGTGGGGAGGGTGGAGAGAAGGAGACGTGAGAGGAAGAGTAGCAAACAAACATGTTCTAAAGTCACTTCAACTTTAGACCACAAATCATACTTCAATAAGATTGTTTACAGAAGGGAAGGCGGGACAAGCCAAGCAAAAATGTGACCAAATAATCAAATGATTGCAGGGAAAGAGAGGACTAGGAGAAAGAATCAAAGGGAGAAATGGAGGAGGTCTCCTGGCTGACCTCCAACATCTAAGGAGTGGCTACATGGTCGTGGCTTCGGGGTTCCAAAATTTTGTTTCCTATTTTTAAGGAACTACAACAAAGAAGAATCAAGAAGCCAACGGATGTAGCCTCAGTTCCACTGTGAACTGTTTTTGGTTTAGAAGACTCCATCAAAACCAAAGGAAGAGAGAGATGATGTTGTACAAGCATCTGGGTTCCTGTGCAGGTCAGTGGGACAGCACAACTGTTCGCCACCAACCTCTTCACTATGAATGGACTACTGTTCCCTGAGTAAGAAGTCACTAATGTTTGAATCTTTCCTAGTGTTTCAAATGGTCATATAGGTTCAAATATGATCTTCCAAGAACTTTCTACCCCAATTATATTACTTTGGTTCACATATATACACTCTGCTTCATCATTCTAAAATTTGTTCCTATTGTAAAAGAAAAACAGCTATTGAAAACCATCACATTGGTATAAGGACTGGTTCCCAAAAGTATGCCCATCACTTTGATTACATTAAAAGCACCTGAACTTCCCATCAAATGTACAGATGCCAAACAGCTGAATCATGACATTGGGCTTGAGGTGTAGGGTTACCCGTTAGCATTGAACTCTGTGGGAATACGGTATCTTCTCTTGGGCATCCCAGAAAATCACTATGACACATCATAATGTCCTGTTGTAAAAGGCACTATGTAAAAGACCTCTGTCACCTTTGCCCTGGGAGAAATTGTCTAGAGCAAATCCTACCCTTTCGCAACTACCACCACCACCCAGGGCTTAAAAACACAGTAAATTCTGTACTTGGTCATCTTTTCCTGTTTAATTCTGCTTTTGATAAGGTCAGAACTATTTCTCTTTAATTCCAATTACTTCAAAAGTTGTTCTAATGTGCCTTCTATATACCATCCCAGGTCATATACTCTTTACAAAGGAGTTTAAATAAGTTGATAAGCAAGATCTTTCATAGTTTAAAACTTTGCTATCATGGAGACAGGAAACCAGAGCTCAGTATTCTGTTGCTTCTCCCCTCCTTGTTTGCAGAGAAGCTCATAGATGTTAGACCACATTTTGTTACCAAGAATATTAACCATAGAGGCATTATCAAGTTATATCTGCAATACCCCTAAAGTTTTATGAACAACTGAAACCTAAAAAATATGTAATTGTTTCAAAGGTATTTTGAGAATGAAAAAATGGATAAGAATCAGGTCCTTGGATTGTTCAGCCGGGTCTTTTTGTATCACACCACACTCACATCACTCACCTCTTGGCTTACCTCTAGAGACCATCTAAGGAGGTCATTGCTTCTCACACCCAGTATATTCCTGATGGTGGCCTGAAGGGTGTGCTGAATATGACCCAACATTTAAGCACTAGAAAAACCCCCAGCTCCCCACCTAACACACTTCCTGGGTCAGCTCATAAAAGTAGTTCAGAGCAGAAAAGGCCGTATAATGTCCGAGTGTTAAGACTCTGGCCAATCGACTGGCCTTTGTCTTTCTGCCCACTGGGTTAGTCTGACCGTCTTCCATGCTGTGTGAAAATTTCCTGTTTCTCCTGTCCTTTCACGGGATCATCTCTTAGAAATATGAGAATCCTCAAATTTCTGTGGAGAATCTCAGTGTGACACAAACGTTTTCAAAGAGAAGATAGTTATTTGAAGTACATTTATTGATGGGATTTTTCAACATAAGGAACATAAAAGGCTTATTGTGAGAGCCCAGGCATTAGACAGGATCTCTTCTACTTTGGGATTCCCAGAAAGCAAAGTGTAAGAGAAATCACACAGCCTTGAGGCAATTTATTTATATCATGGATCAATTAGTAATATGTAAATGTCCTAAAATTGGTTATGACTGTGTATTGTAATGATTTCTTTTTTAATTGTGACTCACAAACTGACTAATGAAGTTTTAAAATACCTCTAACAGACTTCTTCTTGGTCTAGTCTGTTCTCAGGCTCATTTGCTCAACACCCCCCACCCCTACACACACACACATATGTACAAAGACTCCTTTCCACTGACTTAGTCACTAGAAGCTGGAGGAGGGTGAAGATCAAAATTTCTTTATTTCTACATTACAACTTTTCTTAAATGATTAAGAAAGACTCTTACTTTTTAGGAATCCCGTTTTCTTTTTTATGCAATAGTCTACTTGACTCATTGGGGAAAGGTGGTGAGGAGGACAAGGACTTTGGATACTGTCTTACTAGTATTACAGGAAGCCTACCAGAGAAGATCACACAGAAAAGGTCTATAGCCAATTGAAAATCTTTATTTCATCTGGCTGGGGCTACACTTGGGTATTTAAGATCCATCTATAGCAAAGGTTTAAGGTAAGACATTTTTAAAGGCAAAAAAACATATCCTGGTATCCCACTCACTCCATAGCTGCAGGGAGAGATTTTGCACAAGCAGGCAGGTTAATAGAAGCTAAATTAATTAGGGCATCTTGACCTCAGGTTCCTAGACTAGAGTTGGACAATTTTCTACATGATTCTCCATCATCAAGGAGATCAAATTCTAGTTAAATCTAAAATGGCCTCAACAGGAAGGTTCCTCCAAGATGGAGGAACCTCTGCATTGTCTTGCCCAAGCACAAGGGAAAAACTACCAGGTCGAAGTGAGAATCAAGTGTAACAGCAGCTGCTCAGCTACTTAGACTCGGTCATGATTCTGGAATGTAAGCAACCATCTTCCAGGCCAGCCTGACAGGTTTTAGCATGTTCCTTTGGCCGACAATGGTTTCGGATGGAATAGCAGTTTATATTCTTGAGCTGTGTGAGAAATACTGGAAATGTAATCCTAAACTCAGCACCTCAGTTTCTTTGTCTTCTTGTCTAGTTTTTACATTAACGGTGATAATTGGAAATCACAGATTTGACTTGCTTAGAACTGTGCCTGGCACACATAGAAAGTTATTACCATTATCGCTAACGGTAAAAGAAAAGAAAAGTTTCTTTTCTACTGTGATAACTAGAAATATCAGGTTATTTTAAGCAAAATTCGGACAAGTAAAATAGAATAACAGAAAACTACTTTCCACATCAACATAAATGCAGCATTTTTTTTCTTGAGATTGCCTAGAAATCTTCCATTTCAGAATATTTCTATTATGACTGTCACAAAAATTATGTACTGACAATATAGAATATTGATACTAGCTTTTCTATCATGATGCTCAAATAATGCTATTTTGATTGTCACCTTTAGTGGAAGCAAATGTGGATGCCAATGACCTGATCCATAATCTTTCGTGAGTGGAACTACGTTTTGGTGTCTTTTACTTTAGCACACTTTAGGATGTATTAAGTCTCCCTCTCCCTTTGTAATTGTGCAAAGTCAGTCACTGGCCTTTATCTAGCTTTTCGTACACAGAACATGTGTCACCAAGAAGTACTTTTGTCATTAGTCCTGAGCAAGCTTTGATGTTGTGGCTGCTCCTTCTTCCTCCAAAGCCTTAGAGATGGGAAGTAGAGAGCTGTAACTCGCCACACTTTACAATCTAGGAAGGTTACACAGTGACAATGACATGTAAAAAAAATGCCCTATAACAATGAAGGAAATTATTTCATAGTCTCTTGAGACTAAACAACAAAAGACTCACAAAATATGATATGTAGTGTCACCTTCTCCCTCCTGGTTCATCTAGAATTCAGATAACAAACTATTCACAATGCACAGTATAATACTCTGATTTGATTTGGATATATTTCTAGAAATTGATGTCTCTAAAATCAAAAGAATCTAACAGAAGTTATGAATGTTAATTAGTATTGAGATTTATGGTAATCAGCTTGTACTGCCATAATAAATGCCATAGCCTGAGTGGCTTAAATGAGACAAGTTAATTTTTTCGAAGCTCTGGGGGATTGGAAGTATACGATTAAGGTGACAACTGGTTTAGTTCCTGGTGAGGGTGTTTTCCCCTGACTTACCTTCTTGCTCTGTCTTTTAAAAAATGTTTTTATTGGCATGTAGATTAATTGTATAAAATAGTAAGTTTTCTTGTGCAGTTTTTATACATGTGTATTATTGTGCTCACCTTTCAAAATCCTCCCCTGGTCCTTCCTCCCACGGGTCCCCTTCTTCTTCTTGCTATGTCTTGTTATAAGGCCACTAATCCCATAGGATTAGCGCCTCACACTCACAAGCTCATTAACTGTGATCACCTTTTAAAAGTATTATTTCCAAAAGCAGTCATGTTGTGGTTTAGGATTTTGATACATGAATTTGGAGATGTTAAGAATTACACCAATAGCAGCTGTATCTTTGTTAACTTATAAAACACATTTTTATCAAAAGTTAAAAGTAGGAAGAAAGACCAGACAAAAACCTGGACAAAAGGGTTTTTTTTTTTTTTCAGAATGTGAAACATAAATATTAGTATCATAGTGTTTTAATCCCAGAAAAATGAGTTGTCCTTATTTGTGGACTCATTTTCTTGGTGCTGTGAAAACTATTAAATATGAAGCATCTCCCAGCAAGCTGTCCTGCACAGAGGTGTGAACTGGCATCTTTGTCACAAGTTCCCATGGATTTCTCCTCTGACTGGCATTGTTATAGCAACCGGAGTGCCAGAGGAAGTTGTTATGGCCATGATAATCATGAAACATCACTATGGCAACAGAAACCTCTGGAAAGTTAAAAAAAAGAAAGAAAGAAAAGAAAGAAAACCTTAGACTGTCAGTTGGAATCAAAGAGGTTTGGGGGGGGGGAGTGGGGGCTGAAATGAACATGAGGTTGGAACAAGGACCAGAGCACAGAAGAATGATTATACAGAAGCTGAACAAGCAAAGGAGAAAGGAAACAATAGCAAAAAAAACAGAGGGTGAAGACGTGGTTTGCACAGGAAAGAGGCAGGTCGGAAGGAGCACATGAGCCCCAGCAGTGGGCATACTCCCAGGAGTATTGCACATGCTCCGTATACATTGCAGCACCCCGTGGGTAGACAACACAAGACTGGATGCCAAAGTCTGTACTGGAACTGCCCAGGTACTGATTTTCATACTGCAGGAATATTTCGAATGAACCACAAGTTAGTGAGACAGCCTAAATCAATTTGTGGAGTGCTTTTGGCATGCCATCCTGCTGACTAGGAATTCTTATAATATCTGGTGTTCACAGGCACCACATTTGAATGTGGCTCTTCTTTATTGGACATTGGGATTGCTTCAGACAAAGGCACAGTGCCATTTGCTCCATTATAAATATGTATTTCCTTCATTACAGAAGCTTAATGGACTTTTTTCCATGAGAGAATTAAAGTAATTCTTTAATACTCTTAAAGAGTAAGTGGCAATGTCACTTGGAATAAAACATTTTCACTTTATATTTTCCATGTTTTATTATCAGTCAGGATTGAAGTTTTATGGTCCAATATCAACTTTTTTTGTTTTTGTTTTTGTTTTTGTTTTTTTCGAGACAGGGTTTCTCTGTGTAGCTTTGCGCCTTTCCTGGATCTCGCGCTGTAGACCAGGCTGGCCTCGAACTCACAGAGATCCGCCTGCCTCTGCCTCCCGAGTGCTGGGATTAAAGGCGTGAGCCACCACCACCTGGCCAATATCAACTTTTTGTGAAGGGAAAATATATATATATATTCAAAAGGTGCCACTAAGATGTTCAGGGTTTTTTTTTTCTAGAATTAAATTATTTTTCAGACATGAAAGAATAAAGGAAGAATGAAAACAGAAGCAGAAAAGGACATACATAAGGGTTGCAATCGGAAAGAAACAGAGCAAGAGGAAAATAACAAAAGCTTGAGATAAAAGTACAGAAATCAAAGGGGCAGTCTGGGTACTTGCAGAAGTGTGGTCCCAAGAATTTTAACAGGACTTTTGTAAATGACGTCTGTTTTGCCTGGGCACTGCATTTTAGTTGTCATTTGCTAACACGCTAAGAGAGGACCTAGTACTTACTGCATAGCTGAAGATGACTTTGAACTTTGACCTTTAGGGCTGAATAAATCAACCAATTGATGGTAAGGATAAACTTCTACAGGAAGGCATGGGCTGTGCCCAGAGGCCCTGCAGACCTGTTATCATTAGAATTACAGGTCATCCATCCACCTTCAGGATCCCTCCTATAAGTGTGGACATCAACAATTACAACTCCTCTTTTTCAAGTTCATAAACAAAAAAGCAATGCAAAAGTTCTCACTGCATAATCTTCACTTCAAACAAGGCAAGGTCTCTGTTGAATAGTGCACCGATGTTCTAACTTCTCCTGTTTCACTGCACACACACACACACACACACACACACACACACACACACACACATACACACACACACACACTTAGCTGGTATGGTGGTGGTTTGAATAAGAATGGCCCCCATAGGATCATATATTTGAATATTTGGTTCCCAGGGGGTAGGTCTGTTTGGGAAGGATTATGAGGTGTGTCACTGTTAGAGGAGGTATGTCACTGGGGATGCTGAGGTTTCAAAGAGACTCCTGCCATTCCCAGATTGCACTCTCTGCCTCTTGTGAAACAAGACAGTAGCTCTCAGTTGTTCCTTTGCTCCACTGCCATGGACTCTAAACCTCTGACACCTTAAGCCAAATTAAATGCTTTCTTTTTAAAGTTGCCTTTGTCATGGTGTTTTCTCACAGCAGTAGCAAAGTAGTTAAGACAGTGGGAAAGCACATATGAAAGTCTATGAGAGAAGCTGGGCATGGTGGTACATGCCAGTAATCTTAACATGTGGGCAGTAGAGGCAGGCAGATCGGGAGTTCAAGGTCACCTACACAGCAATTCTGAGACGATCTTGGGCTACATGAGATACTGTCTCAAGACAGTATTAATTAAAACAAGAATTAATAAGATAACCAGGCATATTGCTTCATGTCTACTGTCCTAGCACTTGTTAGGTGGAGGCAAGAGGATCTAGCGTTACAGGCCAGGTTAGTATTTATAGTAAGACTCTGTCTCAAAATAATAATAGTAATAATAATAATAGTTATGAAATACATATTGCCCTGCCAAAATATCCAATGTCCTAGGTAAACAAGAGAAGAAACAAAAAAAGTTAAAGACACATGTGTTTAGAAGTCAAGTCAGGGATTCTATTCAATGTATACGGAGAGAAATGCGTGGATTCTAAGTGTTTTACTTGATGAATAGCACATAGGGAACAAACGTGTTTATCATCCTGATCATGATTGTGATGTTGCATTTTATCTTTTCTGTGGCTTTCTAATTCTGTAAGAAAAGAATGTTGGCATATTTTGCATGGGCATCTATTTCCACAGCACTGTGGATAAGGAAGATGGAGAGGCTGCAGATGTCAGGCATGCTTTGTACCATGTGCGGAGAGAGACCCCTGCTGGAATATTTCTTTTTCAATGTAATTGAGGACATCTAAATCAACCCAGAGAAACTGTATGATAAAAGAGAGAGCCATGACTCTGCAGATTTTAAGATTAAATTTGAACATTGTTATCCAAAGATAGAAAATATTTAACTTCTAACACACACACACACACACACACACACACACACACACACACACACACACACACACACACATGTTTAACAGGACAGGATTTAGAGGTTTTGTTTTTATTTCCTTTCAATCTCCAAGCTTGAGAAACAAAGGGATCTGACTTTAACTACCCAACCTGAGATTCTATTCCTCTGCTCGCCATGAGTTAATCCCTTCAGTTCTGGAAGCCTCAGCCATAAAATGACATGTCTGCTCCTCTGCATTTCTTAGGCACTGCTGAAGAACAGCTTGACTGTTCTTCAGGGCTGTGTGAGAGCACATCCCTGGAGGTGCCTATTGACTCCACCATGGATTAGTGTCACTGAGATTTAATGGATTCTAGAGGTCCGTCCTCTGCATCTGTTACTACTAGGATTCTGAGTGGTTACTGGGGTCTGTGATTACAGATTATGAAAACTGAGTTTCCAGGCAGGCCCTGTAATAAAGAGTGGCTTGCCAAAACAGTGAGCCAACAGACTCTGGCACTGGAGTGACAGATGTAAGGTATGTTATCCAGCATGCAGTGGAAAATGGAAGTAAGAGTGATGCCAGCTTTAACTCTTGAGCTTTGGTGAAGTGGTCACCAAGAGTTTCTTAGGCAGAAGATAGGCACATTGAGATATGTGCACAACACAGTGGAATGTAAACTTGTTTACCTCCATTCCTACCCTTTTTTCTGTTTCCTGAATAAAACACTACAAAAAATGTTCTCTTTCCCCTCATTCAGAATGCTACATGTTCCCATACCTTACACCTTCACTTGGACCACACTTAAATCACTACATTCTACTGATGACTAATTCAGTTTTTATATACTCATGATTTCTTCATTTCCCTGTTTGTATTTAACATTATACATATGTTATATGTATATAGTATGTGATATTTTGATGCATCCAATTCAACCTTTAATGATCAGGTCAGTATAATTACATTTCTATCACTTTGAACATTCATTATTTCTTTGGATTGGAAACATTCAAATTCCTCTTTTCTAGCTATTTTAAATTTTGTGCTGTGCACTATATTCATGCTACTATGCAATATGACACTAGAATTCTTTCTCCTTTCCATTCTCTGGTACTCACTATCCCCTCTCTCTCCATCCCTCACCTTGTCCTCACTTCTTTAACACGCTCTCTGTCCTTCCTTTCCAGCTTCTGGAATATGCTGGAGCTGCTCAGTGATGGCTGCCATAACTTCCAACTGAACAACTGCACTTATCGAAGAATTAGTATATTCAGCATTAAGATATTCCATGTCTGCTGTTGGTGCATCTGAAGCCGAAATTCCAAAAATAGCACGAAGGCCATTCCTCATATTCTAAATACTTCTTGGGTTTCTAGTTCCCTCTATTGGCAGACACTTCTTTACATCCTGTTTCTCTGATCTTCACAGCTCCTGGAGGTGGTTTGTATATTCCAACAATACCCACTGACTGTTACCATGACAACAGTTGTAAACCACCCCCACCCCTGCCCTTTTTTTTTTTTTTTTTTCTTTCTAATCCTGCCCCTCCAACCCCAGGTAAAAGGACCATGCACTTCTCCACATTATGACTCTACCTGGCACATACTTTTATGACCATCATTTTGTAACATTTTAGACCTGGTTGTTTGCCTTCTGCTTACTCCAGGCTGAAAAGCCTGTGTTAACCTTCCTCTAAGTATTATTCACAGTGTGGTTAGCCTGGGACTTAAGTTCCATAAATTGCACCTTAAATAGTTGCTAAATGTGTAGTCAGGGGCCTTAAAATGGAACCCTAATGCCTCAGAAAAAGCACTTGGCCATGCAGATAACCTGCTGTTTGGGGCAGCAGACAGATTGAATGTATTTGATAAAAACTGTATAGTGCACCAAATGCTTTGCAAAGGTAAAGAGCAATTCAGTTCTATCATGTCAAAGTTGGGCCCCACAGAACCAAACTGAGCAGATCCTCTGTAGGCCATAGGTTGTCTCCACTTCAGTCCGAGTGGTGATTTTACAGAGATTACCACAGCATCCAAGGGGCACAGGGTGGAGGCAGATTAGGGTAAAGAATTAGAAACTGACTTAATAAACTGAGTTTTTAGAGAGAGTTTTACTCTGATATGCCAGAAAAGTTGCTACAGTAAATGTGTGGTGTTCATAATGGCAATAATTTTCCCTTACATGTCATAAAATCTATATGACTGTACTGAACTTCTGAGTCAGGGAGAGACAAGATGCCATTACATTAGCATCCCATGGGAAATCCCAATGTTTGAATGAGAACCTGTTAAAGAGAGCAAGAGAGGGCTAACCATAGGGAGCATTATCATTTCTGTTTGCCCCCCAAAAACTGTCTCCCAACAATTATACAACATGTACATTTTCAGCAGACTAAGCTGGAAAATGGGGAACTACATCTGGAGTCCAGGATACCGAGTTACAGAAAATTCCCCTTTGAGGCCAGCTGAAGACTTCACCCAGACACTGCGTTAAGAAGAAAAGGCTGAAAGCCCCAACACCTTGTTGTTCTGTGGAATCAGGTCCCTGCTGACTGACTTAGTGTCCCTTAACTCTGAAAGATATAGGATGTCCAGTGTTCATTCACCATTTATACCCGAAAGCAGCTGCTGCTACTCTGAAGGCAGCAAAGAACTGGGATGTTAATGACAGGAGACCAGGGTGAGAACTGACTGTTGGCCTGTGGACAGAAATACAAAGGAGAATTGAACTCTGTCTGGGATTGGGAGGATAGGAAGGGTGAGTCAGGCTGGAGCATCTGGCTCAATGGGATGAACAGGAAAAGGAAGACTGTCAGAAACAAATGCTAACACAGAGATTGTCAGGGTTAGGAGACGGAAGAGGACAGAGCACCCGAGGCATGCTGCACAGAGGGTGGCCGCCCCCTGTGGAGGAATGCATGGGTGGAATGGGACTGTAGGGGTCAAGCAAGTTCACTCGTCACCTTGTATTCAGAATCCAAACACTTCCTGTTCAGGGTTAATTCTATAGAAGAGACTCTGCCTCTTCCCACAGCATCACACGGGAGACAGATGTTGCTTTTCCCAGTTCCCTGGCAGTAAGGACATGGCATGGAGCCCAGGATCAGTCAGCTGCTCTAGCTCAGAAGTTTAAGATTTAAGGGTGTAATGCTATCTTAGCACAGGTTTCCCAAGACACGGAGACTAGGAGAAAGAAACTTAGATGCCATATTTCTATGGGGAGAGTATTAGCCTGTGGCAGAAGGAACAGTGGAGGTGAGACAGAGCAGGAAGGAAAGTATGAAGGGATGTATTTCTGAGCTGGCCACAGCTCCTCAAGAAGACAGTGAGTGGTTCAACTGTGAGCTCTATCAACAGCAGGTGCAGGAAATGTGGTCAGGGCAGTGTGTGGGCAGGCTCTACACTGGTGTGTGCAGGCTAGATTAGCCTGGAGCTTCTTGGGCTCATGTCACAATGGCAAGATGCTGGCTATATTGTTACTTTTCTTATTGCTGGGGCAAAGCGCCTGACAAGGAACAACTTAAGGAAGCGTTGTGTGACACTATTCCCCGGGAGATAGGAAGAAATGTCTACTTACGCCAGATAGGGAACCGACAACAGACCAAAGTTAAGATACCACCCAAGTCCAACTTGGTGGACCAATAAGCTTTACTGGGGTAACTTACATGAGCAGAAATAATTCAAAGACAGTTGCATCACCCAGAACTCACCACAGCTCATGAAATCTGGGAAGCTGGAGCTCAGTGCACAACCTACAGGCAGCTCAACAGGCTGGAGGGTCTCCTTTCCATACAGCTCAGTTGGGCTAAGCCTCTTTGGGGAGCTCTGCTAGTCTCTGATTCTTCCAGGCTGCTCAGCTTGCTCTGAAAATGGGAGACAGCCCAGCCTCTCTGAGTGTATCCCTTCACATTTCTTACTGCGTATAAATGCTTGGGGAGGGAGAGTCCTCGTCTGGTTTGTTTCAGGGACTTCCTGAATCCTCTGAGTTATTTACTTCTGGGCTTAAAGGGCTTCTCGGTCTGATGGGATGTTTTACCTCCTGTAGGTGTAATTTTCTGTCCCACCAGCCAGCTCCCAAATAACCACATAGAGACTTATTATTAGCTCTTATAACTTAAATTAACCCATTTCTATTCATTTACTTGTGCCACGTGGCTCATGGCTTATTTCCTCATTGTGTACATGACCTGCTTCCTCTGCATCTGGCTGGCAGCTCCGCCCCTCTTCATCCCAGAGAGCTCTCTCCCTCTCCACAAGTCCCACCTAACCTCCTCCTGCCTAGCCAATTGGCCACTGGGCTCTTTATTAAACCAATGAGAGCAATTTATATTCATAGTGTCTAGAAAGATTATTCTACAACAACCTCCCCTCACAACATCCTGTTGTTTCACCTCCCTTTTAACATGCCATGTCCTCGTGAGATTTTCCATTAGAATAATGAGCTTCTGATTAAGATGGAAGGTTTCAGTCTTAGGGTAAAATCCTGCACCACAGAGCTTACATTTTGAGGCTACACAATCTACCAGGGGTGAGGGGCAGGGAGGAGATGAATGGTGGCAGGAGCAGGAGACTGCTGGCCACACTGCATTCACAGTCATAAAGTACAAAGGGAACAAGAAGTGTCCACCCCCACCTGACCCTCTACTAGAAACCCTCAAGATCAGTCCCCAGTGGTACCTCATTTCCTTCAGCAAGGCTTCAGTTCGCACAACCTTCTCAACTAGTGCTACCAGCTTGTTTATCAAATGTTCTCACAGGAGCTTCCAGTAGACATTACTTTTAATCTACACTACTAACCATTCAAAGCCCAACTACATTCCAGTGAGCTCAATATATAGGTAAATTTACATAGTTAAGTAGGAGGTTAATAAAATAGGTGAGGTGATGAGATTTACAGCATAATTTCACTCACCAAAAGACAAGCAGAACCATCCATAAGGCTGTGTCTAGGAAGCCACCTTGCAAGAGGCCCAGATCTGAGGGCATAGGACTCAATACTTTTGGCGTGTTATGGAAACTGGTCTTGGACCAGTAAGTGGTAAAAGAAACCCAGAGAACTACTTAAGGACAGATCTTAGTGTTCAGGTTGGTTCTGCTAGCAGTGATAGTGAAATAATTGCCCCCTTAGATAGGGAAACAATGAGCAATTGTTTTGTTTTTACTTTTTCTTTTTCTTTTTTAACTGTTAGTGGATGGTGTAAGCCACTGGATTTTCTTTCAGTAAGAAAGTCTTAAATTACTAGGGAGGAATTTTCTTGCCCGCACTTGACACTCCTGATGTTTATCATGATCCATTATTGGTTGCTTTACAAAATGCAGTATTCTTCATTTGCTCCAGATGAAGGAGTGTACAAACACACAGATACACACAGGCACTTGAGATAAGCAAAATAAATAAATAAATAAATAATATTTTTGTGATTCCAGAATCTATCAAGGAGAAAGGGGATTTATTAGAGTGGATTGCAGGCTGTGGTCCTGCCAGTCCAACAATGGCTGTCTAACGACAGTAAATCCAAGAATCCAGTAGTTCAGTCCATGAGGCTGGATGTCTCAGCTGGTCTTCAATATACACTGGAATCCTGAAGAAGTAGACTCTATGCTGGTGAAGGAATGGACTTGCCAGACAAAGTGAGGGCACACAGGCAAAGAGAGCAAGCTTCCTTCTTCCGTGTCATTTATAGAGGCTGCCAGCAGAAGGTGTGGCCCAGATTAAAGGTATATCTTCCCACCTTAATGATGTGGGTTAAAAGTGAGTCTGCTCATTTCAAATGGTTTTAATTAAGAAAAAAATCCTTCACAGGTGTATCCAGTGGCTTGGGTTTTAGTTAATTCCAGATGTAGTCAAGTTGGTAACCAAGAATAACCATCACATACATCCTATCAAATTTTTAAAATACTATATCATAGAGTGGAAGACAAGAACTGGGTAGTGTTTGCTGGAGGTCAGTGTGTATGCCATGTGTTCCTTCACTTTAAACTTACAAACCACATATGATGAGAGGCACTGCAGAAACTTGCAACATGACCAAGGCAATGATTCACAGAAGTTTCTTGGAAATCTAAATATCTGATTTTGTAGTATCCTCTCTGTCTCTGTCTCTGTCCCTCTCCTGTATCTTTATGTATCCTTTTCTGTTATCTATGAATTCCTTCTTGTATTTAATGCAGCATTTCACATATAGTGAGAAATGATGTTCGAAAATGTTCAGCAAATATAGTTGGTGTCATGCCATTTGTTACCAAAGAAAAAGCCTTGCAGCCTAATTAAGCAGCTACTTTGTATTCACTCTGCACACTGTAGCAATGGATTTTCATTTTCTTCTGGACCTTTACAGCATAGCAATCTTGATGTCTCATCAAGCTTGTTAAAAGAAGAAATTACCTGTCTGCATAGTCTGTGCATGTATAAGTCTTTTGTTTTGGAAAATGACAGTGACTGTGATTACTATCTGCAAATCACTCAAGTGACGGCATATAATTAACCGTCATTTCTACACTGTACCCACAAAGGTTCCCACCTGAGTTTAACCGCTTGTTACCATTTGTCTGTGGTTTGCTCTTCTCCTCATCATTTGTAACCTGCCATTTAGAAAGCTTTGTTCAGGCTATGTTTTTTGCACCAGCCAGGGACCTCATGTCTTGACAGCTCTTAGTGGTGCATACTCACACATGTATTGAGTCTTACTATATTCCAGGCACTGTGGGACTTAGGCACCAACTGGGAACCAGCCAATTAGAATTACCTTGGTTCTTCACATGAACTCTCAGGGTTTGTGTTACTTACATGAAAATCTGCAAGACTGTAACAAAGACCCAACATTCCTAAAGACCCAAAAAGATTATTTCTCTTATCACATGGTCCAGAATGGACAGAGCTTCTCTGATCTACGTGGCCATTCAGGGACCCAGCTTCTCTCCTCCTGGCTTGCACTGTGTCCTGGCTCCTGGCCCTCACTCTGTTACTAGCTTCAATCATGGAGGTGGGGAAAGCAAGGAGGAGGCTGGAGGGCAGTTCCTTAAGCTCCAGGCCTGAACTTCTGTCCACAATTCACTGCTTGCACCCAGATGCCAGCAGACTTAAGAAATGGTATTTCCTAACTACAAATGTCCATGCACAACCCTCATTTTTAGGGAGGAGTGGACATCACTTAAAAACAAAACAGTAACAACAACAACAAAAACGTTGTAGTTAGGAATTTGTTGCTGAGATAAAGCATTGATCCAAACCCACATGAGGAGGAAAGTGTTTATTTCAGTTAATAGGTTATAGTCCATCACCAAGGGAAGCCGAGGCAGGAATGTGGAGGCAGAAACTGAAGCACAGACCATGGAAAAACCCTACTTACTGGCTTGTTCTCAGGATCACAGTTGGTTATCTTTTTTGTACAGCCTAGGCCTACCTGCCTAAGTATAGTACTACTCACAGTGAGATGAGCATTCCCTCATCAATCAACAATCAATAAAATGCTCCATAGATATGCCCTCAGGTCAATCTGATACAAGCAATTTCTGAATTGAGGGTCCCCTTTCCAAGTGTGTCAAGTTGAAAGCTAAGATTAGCTATGGCAACAACTAAGGGTTTGCTTCAGCTCTCCTGCATGTCCACCTCTTAGGTTTCATACTGTGGTGGTTTGAGTATGGTTGGTCCCCATAAGCCCATAGAGAGTGGCACTATTAGGCATGGCTTTGTTGAAGTAGGTGTGGCCTTGTTGAAGTAGATGTGGCCTTATTGAAGGAAGTATGTCACCATGGGAGTGGGCTTTGAGGTCTCCTATGCTCAAGCTCAGTGTGACACTCAGACCACTTCCTGTTGCTTGTGAGTCAAGATGTAAAAACTCTCAGCTCCTTCTCTAGCACCACGTCTGCCTGCTTGCTGCCTTGATTCCCTTGATGATGATAGTGGACTGGACCTCTGAACTGTAAGCAAGCCACCACAATGAAATGTTTTCCTTTATAACGGCTTCCATGGTCATGGTATCTCTTCACAGCAACAGAAACCATAACTAAGACACACACATTATTAGTTGACTCATTATTTCAGAGAGTTTGGTCTATGCTTGCTTGGCCTCATGCACTTGGAGAGAATGTTATGGTGTGGGAGTATGTGGCAGGGGAGAGCTATTCACTACATGGCTCTCCAGGAGGCAGAGAGCAAAAGAGCAAGTGGTCAGGAATAATGTACTTGCTCTGAATAACTTACATCCTTCAATTAGACTCACCTCCTAAAGTTCCCAGAGTCTCTCAAAATAGTACCACCAACTGAGGACCAAGTACTCAAAACTTGAGTCTCTGGAGGTTACTTCATATTTAATCCATAACAAAAGTCATGAGACGATAAGAACTTGAACCCAATGGTGGCATGTTGACCTCACTCAGTCTCTTTGTTACCATATTTGATCAGGTGATAAAGCATATCGCAGAAGGCCCAGAACTTGTTTAAATATACCTTGACTGATACTCCTGGGCAGATTGATGCAATCACCTGAGACAGTTATTACTCAGTTCCTGTCATTCTCAGTGACAAGATGCTGGGCTTGAGTCCTGCTTCATCCTGGTATGTTGGGACTATTGCACACTAGCCCAGTCTGGGAAGGGGTTGGGGAGCACGGCCAGGACCAAGTGAAAGAACACACCCAGAAGGCTGTGTTGGTGGACATCTGGTTTATTTGAAGGGGACAGGAGACAGTTATACTCTAGGAAGAATGGCTGGTTGGATCCAGTGGTATGTCATTGACTGGGGCAAGAACATCAAGGGTGTTTTATTTGCATATATGGGAGCAGCAGAGGCCAGGGGAAGGAAACTTGCAAGGTCATATAGAAAAGAAAGGAAGTCCAGCCTGGAATGTTTCAGCGTCAGATAAGCAGCAACCAGTCCTTGCAACCTTGGAGACATGTGAGCGTACACGCACTGGGACTGTCTCAGAGAAACAAAACAAACCGAAGAACAATTTTCCTCAGAAGTGCAGAGTTTCTCTTTTAAAGGAAATGTAATGGTTCAGTGACGTCATGGATAGAAAACTCAAAACTGTCAGGGCAGAGGCCAGTCTCCTTTCTGCTGTGCTTATCAAGGAAGGATCCATCCTCTGTCCTTGGAAACTGATATCCTTCAAACCTGAAATGTCAAGTTTTATCACTGCAACTGGAATACTTTTTGCTGCTGCTGAAAGACAGAGTTACTTCCATGGCGACATCAACTCTCTTTGTTTAGAATGTGTATATGACTTTTACTACCCAGCATAGGACTCTACACTCAGAATTGCCCTGACTGTGGCAGAAAGAGGGAAGGATACTTTATCTTTCCTGTTGTGCCTAGGGACCATGAACACACGTAGTCTATGGTTAGAAAATGGGCCTCGCATTGGGCAGCTCATTATAAGGAGCCAGATTTGTTGAAAATCATAAGCAAAACTAAGGATTTTGAGTAAGAATCTGTTTAAATGGTATCTCAGATGAAGAGTTTTAATTTAAAAAGTAATCAAATGTGTAAATGTAACTACTCGCTAGGGGTTGATATTGATTTACATTTATAATTACAAAATAAATTGGTTAAAAAAATAACAGCTTTTGCTGTTATAAAAGCAATATTGGATACAAGGTTTTTGTAGAGGAGACATTTCCAAGCCAGCCGATAAGCAGCCTCTACCCACAGTGCTTCCAAGTTCTGTCTTATTTGGTTAAAATGAAGAAGCCATCTATCTATGTCTCCTATATTGACTCCACAGTGCTAAGGGGTTAATATTGTCACCTTGATTTTATCCACAGAGAACCAGAGGCTCATAGCAGTTCTACTATTTGGTGGAGGCCATAGACTTTACCATTCTGCCTCCAGGTTCTCTCATGATTGAATGGCCAGAACTCCTTCCTGGAGCCACCCTTAGGCCAACTCCTGAATGGGTGAAGTCAGTATTGCTTCCCAGGCCTGGGAAGATGTGTGTGTGTGTGTGTGTGTGTGTGTGTGTGTGTGTGTGTGTGTGTGTGTGTGTGTATGTGTGTGCGCGCGCGTGCAGACAGATACAATTCCAGCAAAAGCCCTCCTTTTCTGGTCATTTAGGGCCATCTCTTTTACATTGTTGCCCTCCCTCCAGTCCTTCTGGTAGATGATAGGGAAGTATCTCCAATGAGCAAGAGTATCTCCACTTCAGCAGTAGTGTCTCTTTGTAACCCTGCTCTCACCAACCCCCAACTCTCACTAGACTCAGACCTTGGACCTGTCAAGGATTATCACTCCCAACTAGAAATATTTACTTAGTGTCTTCTGAGCTTCCAGCACTGTGTTTTGTTTTTTGTACTCCTATTATAGTCAATATGGAAAATAAACAAGAATAAAATATAATGAATATACACATGCATTTGACTGCACATTATGATACGTGCTTTGAAGGTTCAAACCCGTGGTTGCAAAGTTGGCCAACAGATACTTTTCTTATTTTTTTTTTTTTATTTTTTCTCTGTTATTGTCTGAAGATTTGGGCTGGAAACCAGTAAAAAGAGCCTTGGGAGATGATAAAATCATGATGATGAAACTCATAAGGAAAGAAATTATCCTTTATGAACTAGGCCTGAGAGAGCTGCTTTGCCCTTCCACCAGATGAAGACAGAGCAGGTGCCATCTACAAGCTAGGAAATAAGCCCTTACTAAACAACAAACCTGCTGGGACATCAGTCTTAGACTTCCTAAACTCAAGAACTGTAGGGAAGAAACTTCTATTGTTTACAAACTACCCAAGATGGCTATTTGTTACAGTGGACTAAATGAGCTAACACCACAAGAAAGGAAGAAAGGCCATCCAACAAGGCGATTCTGTTCCCCAGGGATCTGTGTTAATATCTGGAGACACATTTAATTGCTACAATCAAAAAAGGAGCGGTCACTTACATCGAGTGGGTAGAGGCTGAGAAAGCTACAGAACATCAAACAATGCCCATGGTAGCCCTCCACACCCAGATGGCCTCATCTAAAATATCACGGTGGAGAAGGTGAGTGTTAAATCTTCATCTACCTAATAAAGACCTATCTAATACTCAGGAAATTGTGATTTGAGCTTTCCATTGATTAAGTCTTAGACGTTAACTTGTAGAACACTGATAAGCAGCAAATGGTTTCTGTCTAGTATCAACGCTTTATTATCTATGTGGACATTGTCCATTATTTGTCCAATTTTTCAATTTCTAATATTTTTTATTTTCTGAAAAAAAAGTATCAGCTGCTGCTCATTATTCCAGGCAGTCATGTTATATAAACACATAAAATTAAGAACATTTAGTTGACCAATATTACGTTATTTCTCCTACAGAAAATAGAAATGGGATTTTATATACTCCTGGTTGAATGTTTTGTTGGCTGATCAATATATAACCTTGCTTTATGTGTGTTTTCATTTAAGCACACCATATTTAGCTTATCTTGCTGATTTACTGACATTGAACTTATGGCCCACAACACTATAACTCAAGGCTGAAGAAAACTTTTTTAACAAATATATGTGTGCCATAAGGCACACCATGCCCTTAGGAATATGAGCTAGCTCTCCAACACCATTCTTGGGGGTCATTTTGAGCAATTAAACAACCAAAGAAAAGCTCATAAAATATGAAAACATGATACTAAATAGACTACAAGAAGACATTGCTCATAGTCTGAAGCAGAGATGACCCTGAGGCCTCTGCATTCTGTGGGAGCTCTGCAAACGACTGTGAGAGGACCTTGTGTATTCACCTTGAGGTTACATACTTTCAGAACTAGACATGACTGTGGGGTCCGAGTTGGTGAATGATGAGGATGGATGGCATTGGTTGTTCATATTCTTTACTAAGGTAGTGCTGGGACCTGAACCCACAGCATACTAGGCAAGTGCTCTACCAATGAACTATATCCTCAGCCACCATATTCCTTTCTGACTGTTTCATTTTGTTGTTGTGTTGTTTGCTTTTGTTTTAGGGTGCTAAGTAGCTGAAGCTAGCCTTGAATCAAGATCCTCCAGTTTCTACCTCCTGAGTGCTTGGATCATAGGCTGCTGTATGACAAAACTTTTCCTAGGGAGGACGCTTACACACACGTCTACTCATTCCAGAGAGAGCCCGAGATAGACCAAAGTACAGATACCACTGAAGGGACTCTAGTCTGCCCAACCATGACAAACATGGTTCTGGCAGGCCTTGCCCTTCTCCCCCATTTCCTCTGCCTTGCTAAAATCCATTAGATTAAATTCCTAAAGCTAGCCCCAAAGTCTCTTCCCTTATTTGGCCACTTCCTCCTCCTGAGGTTGACTGCCAAGGTCCAGGTATCAAAAGTATTTAAGTCCGCAATCAAAAGTCCCCTTTGACTCACCTAATTAACATTCCCAATTAAAATTAAATACCTCATCCTAACACAGCCCTTTTAACTTTATAAACCAATGTTTGCCTATGGGCCAAATCTGTCTCCTCTCCATCCAGAGGCAGTCACCTTTCGGGACAAATACCCCTCCCCGCTCTCCCTTGTTCCCTTCCCCTTCTCCCTCATCCTCTGTCTCCTGTCTTTGTCTCTTATTCCCTGCACTTTGTCCTTCTGGGGCAAATAATTTTCCTTTCTGCTAAAAGTTGATCTTGGGGTGTCTTGAGCCAATACTGGTCCACTTCAACCACTAAAGTCCAATTTAGTGAACCATGAGTTTTATTGGAGTTACTTACAGGAGGAGAAGTGACTCAAAGACAGCTGCATCACCAAACCTAGCCCCATCATGGGTGACAGCTCACACAGCTGGGAACCTGGAACACACTGCACAGCACCTCAGCAGGTTGGAGAGTATCCCTTCCCACTGACTCAGTTGGTCTAAACCTCTTCAGATGGCTCAGCTGGTTGCTGCTACTTCCAGGCTGTGTCTCTGGTCTCAGAATCTTCTTTTCAGCTTTGAGAGTCTTCATTGCAGCTTGCCTAGCCTGAGGACTCTCAGCTTTGATTGATCACTCTGGCATGAAGGGATCTATTGAGTCTGTTCAGTTTCAGGAACTTCCTGAAGCTATTTTGAGTTGTTTACCTCCCTGTTTCAGGAGCTCCCTGCAGGATAGAATGTTTCCATCTCAGAGGAAATGACATCACAACACAGGCATGTATAACTTACAATTTATCTAACTCTTTTTATTTCTTTTAACCAGATTCTCATCTAATTGGTTACTTCAGTACTAAAACATATAAATAGTTGATACATGATCACTATATTTGAATGTGATAGTTATATTTTTAACTTTTGGACAATCAAAACAGAAAAATGCTTATCAGGTATTAATATTTATGATGCACACAGGCAAGTGTCCCATGACTCACAGTGTTTGGAGGCAATTTGTCTTCCAAGTTTATTTTAATGACCTGACTCCCTCTATAGGACCTGCTGGGTCTAGAAGTACCCTGCTTACTGTACTCAGGGCCTTCTCTCCCATCAGGTGTGGCCCAAGCCTGTCTGTCTGTGTCTGTTTCCTTTATGAGCCTCCCCAGGCATAAGAACTCCTGAGCCTACCCCACTCACAGCTTCCAGAAATACCAGACTTTTCTGATTCCTAGCCAGGACCCAGGATGGGACTCCTAGATCCAGGTAAGTAGGCAGTCCTTGGGGCCAGAGCTGAGTCAGGAGATGTTCAACAACACTAAACTAAGAACTCCCAGGGAATTTTAAAAGAAGACATGAATCAAGTCGCCTTAGGGTCCCTTCACCTTTGGAACCCAGGTATGTTTTATACTTAGTGACGTTCTGAGTTTCATTCATTCATGTTTAATATTAAAATGGTTTTTTTTTTTTAACTCAGAAAACATGCCTTGTCTTTTTCAGTGCCCCCAACCTCTTCTTCTCTTTCCTGCCCCTTCCCCTTCTAATCCTGCACAGACCCAAGTCCTCTGCAGAGCCTCAGCCAAGGGATTGCTGAGAAGGCAATGCCTAAAGACATTTTTAATAAGAGTTGGTGGCATCAGGTAGGAGAGGAAGGTTACAAAACCCCAACACCAGTAGTGCAGGCCAAGGCTGAGACATTCCTGCTGTACTTGGGCACCACCACCACTCTCTAGAGAGTGGGCATTAAGACTCTGCTGCAACGGATTATCCAACCTATACTGCTAAACAAGGTATGTGCCTTGTGTGAACAAATGAGTATGGCTACACTCTAGAAAATGTCACGTGTAGATGCTGAAATTTGAAGTTCACTTAGTTTTCATATATCAAAAAATATTGTTCATTTGATCATTTGAAAGATACAAAAATATAAAGGCTTCCATAGTCCATAGAGCACATACAGATGATGACTATGAACGGGTCTGAGGTTCTAGCACATGAAAAGCCTTGGTTTCCATCTGATTTCGAGAAAACACAGTATTTTCATTCTGAAAAACTATTTATTCATTATTTGGGTGTTTTGTTTTGTTATTTTTTTTTCACTTGCAGCCTTTTAAAGTATGATTTGTGCTTTGTGTGTTAAGTACCAGGGATTCAGCTAAGCACTGTGGATGAAGAATGGACCTTTTATGTAAGCAATGATGCTATGTTCTGGTCATTAAAAACTGAATTTTTAATAACCTCCTGGTCTGGGGAAATGATTCTTTTCTCTAAGTGTTTATGATTTGCTTGTTTAATCTCAGTCCTCCTTCTCACTTTCTGAGCTTCTGTTGGCTCACGGCTGCATTTTTCAGAGTGAAGCCAGACCCAGTTTTTGGTGGGGTTGAAATTTCACCAAGGGCAAGTTCATTCAAATTCTGGCTCATTTACATTTCAGGTCTGCAATTTGATCTGGTTATCACTGCTTGGAAAGAAACTAAGAACTTTGTTTTGTGGACTGAACTGGAGACCTGAGCCCAGGGGAAAGAGAGAAACTCAGAGTCCAGAGAGTGGTTGCTTTCTTTTTAATTCTCAAAAATTCGGAGAGTTTGACAAGTGCCATTTTCTAAACAGTCTGAAAAAAGCTCCATATTTTTGCAGAGGAACCAAAAAGGGAGAGACACGCACCCCCCACCTAAAGCTACCAGGGTGGAAAGGAAGGACTAATTAGGAGGGAACAAGAGGGAATGTGATAGGTAGACTGAGGCATGCCTGAGAAAGGCTGAGATTCCCTGTCATACTCCCAGTACTTTCTCCTTTTCTGAGTGGGAGGAACAGGGCTCACAAACAGTTTTAGGACCAGTAAGAAAATGGCTTGATCAGATACAATATGAAAGATACAAAAAAAAAATCAATAATTTCCTTAAGTTTATTTATTGGAAGTCATGATAAGGAAGCCAAAGATCCTTTGCCCCATATCAACTAGGAATCATCCCATCAAGAAATGCCAGAACATACACGATGTAAAACACAGCACCTAACAGGAAGATGTAAGAAATAGACTG